AAAAAAAAAACAAAAGGATTTCAGAGAATGTATTAAAATTTGTGATTTGTGCATAACGAATTACATACCTTTGCAGGCAATCCAACCGCACGAGCATATGTTGCTTATCCGCTGGCATGTTACGCAATTTTGACGCTACACACTGTAAAATCTCTACGCTGTCCGCCAGCCAACCGGCTTCAGACAGAAACGAGCCCAACCGTAATCCAAAGTCGATAACATCCAAACCAAAGTGAAAATCATCCAAAGGTAATTCTTCAAAAATTGCATCTGGGTCAATATCATTAACAACTGAAGACTCAGTTTTCACGCTTGAGTTCTCATAAACGTCATTATCTTTGACAGTTGTGCTTATGCTTGCATTGGCAAATAAATCAACCATGGTTGGGGTAGTGGGCAAATTAGGCGATTTCTTTAGCGGATTAGAGCTTGAGCTTGGCTCAGTTGTAGCAGTCTTGTTGAATTTTGTTGAGTCTTGTTTCTGGCGATAGCGCATGGTAAAGTTTTGTTGAAGTTGCGTGGATAGAAGTTTACCGCTACTCATCAATGCGGTTAGACAACGAAAAAGCTTTAGACGCACAGGATCAAACCGAAGTAGTCGTTCAAAGGTGCTTAAATCGATGAGCTGCTCCAACAGCATGTCCTTAAGCTCATCATGCTTGGACATCTGGAATATAATCACAATCAGTAAGGTTATTTATACCACGTAAAATGTTTGTAATATGCCTAAATATGTTACAATAGTACCATGCAATAACTCTCCTTAAAAAACTGTACCTCTTCCGGGCGCGACCTCAAACCTAACTCAAGCTAAGCGTACTTTTCTTTTTTTCTCGAGAATTAATTTAGTTTTTGCAAATTAACAGCAACCCCCACCAAAAAACTTACCCTCGATAACCAACCTGTTTTTAAGTGGTTTCAACTTTGTGCTACATTTTAAAGGAATTCAAAATTTCAATGTGCAATCATCAAACAGCCTGGTATAGCTACGCGGTGGCAATTTTCTTTCGCTGTTCTTTATCAGTGCGAAAAATGGTCCAAGCTTTTTAATTGATTGCTTGTTCACTGCAGTGGGTTCAAAGACATTGATACTGCTCAAGTGATATGTAAAACAGACAAACGCCGCAACAGGACCAGCCCATTTACGCATTTAGCTTCGTTCATCTCACAAACGTCTTGTGGAGAGTCAGTGCAATTATGAAGGTCTTAAGCTATGTGGTTTTTTTAGAACACCTATTTATTCATGTTCACTAAGAACACCTACATACATATGTATGTACGTATGGATGTCTCCATTTATATAACTGGGCGCTTCTCTTGCTACTCCTTTATTAGCATTAAGAAAAATTTCATTTGTTGTTTTCAACGCAATACATGCATCAGTTTTCGTGTTTAATACAAAGAGGTTAAATGACTTTTGATTAAATTAAACGTGTACAGTATTTATAAACCTGTATCAAAAAGCTTACTTTGTTTACAAGCGAATTATACATTCATACATATCGCTGGCTTAGAGTGAAAAGTTGTATACATAGCTGCGTATGTTTATGTACATATATGTATGTACATAGCTGCGTATGTTTGCGAGATAAGGAAATTTAAAATATAATATGTACTACTTAAACTGGAATGTAAACAAAAGATAAGCAAAAGCATATACATATGTATATATTCGCGGTTTTTAATTTATCTGCCACGTTTTCGAAACTTGCAAATCCTACTCCGTGCCCCAACATCGTTATGTTACGATATCATGAAACACTGACAAGGGTATCTGTTTCATTATACACCAGCCTATTGTTACGTATATGAGCAGCATGATTCCAATAATAATTTATTATTGAATCATGTATGAGCAGCATATCAGTCGGCAGGCGACGTGTCACGCGGAATACAAAAACTAAATGAGAAGCACGAGCGAATACCGAATTGATAGACTTGCCCTCAGTTTGCCGAAATTGAGGCGGCTGAATAGAATTGTCGGTCATTAGCATTTAATTATAAATAATTTAATTGTGCCTCAGTGATATTGTGACATGTGTACATATGTATGTACGTAAGGCTACAACTAAATATGTACTAGGTATTTACGTTTGCAAAACATGCGTCAAATAAAAATTTTAATGGAAAAGTGATGTCAAACAAAAAGTAAATACGTATGTACAAATAACTAAAGTGTGCTTGCAAGTCATCACAATTGTACTACAATCTACTTTTTCCTTATCAATTTTTATTCGTTATGGGTTGTTGTGTACACCGCTGGAGGTCGCCTTGATTGACTGTATTCTTTCATTCCGTACTCAATAGGGGTATTCTCCAAATCTTGCAAAGCCATTGCACGTAGCACGGATTGCACGGATTGCATAAATTGCAAACACACAACAAGAAAATTCATGGGAAACAACATTTCCTATCGCTGCAAAATATGCAACGTCGAAACCCATGTATATATTTTGCAAAATAGCACAGCAAGACAATAGCGACCCTGTGCTAGTTGTTTTGTTGTTGGAATTGCTACATATTTCTCTCATTCCTCTCATCTCGCTCACTTAATTTTTTTTTGCTGTCTCTTGTTATTGTATTTGATACATAATTTCGCTGCTTGCTCCCCATGCATGCTACCTCTTTGCAATGGGGTGTTCTCGTACTGTTCGAAATTTGGAATAGTATTTTTGCATTTCGTGCAATCCGTGCATCGTGCAAGACTTCGAGAATACCCCTAATGTTTATATTTCTGCACCAGCTGATTTTGGCTAATGTAATGTAATGACAATATACATCTGTGTGTTAGCAAACATGGAGAGTTTTTCACATAATTGTAGAATAGCATGTGAAGGAGGCACTTCATCATTATCACTAATGCGAATAGCGCAACCGTCTATAAACACAATTACCAGCAGCTACTCCACCTTTCACAAAATATGTAGCTAATCTGTCATACTGGTTGCACGAGTCAAACAAGTCTCAGCGTCAACTGTTAGATATATATACATATGTATGTACGTATACACCTTCCCATCCCGTTCATTTAGTTAAAATTTTTTTGGCATCTCGCTGGCAATTTCGCTTTCGTTTATGATGGCGAATTCGATTGGTAAACTATTTTTGCCTATCAGGGTAATGTTCGTTCTTTCATTCCAATTGTCCACGTGGGCATAGATTTATAGAATCTTTAAATACACTCCAAAATCTGAATATTACTCTTTAATTTTCAATGTAGTATAAGTAGGCACGTAACTTACCATGACATAAACATCGCTTAGTACGCCTGGTGGCAAATATCGCAACTGCTGCACACTATCCAGAGTTTGGACATTGTAATTGAGTTTGGCGACGTAGCAGCCGAGACATTGTTCATACAGCGTTGCGGGAGTTTTACCCTTTGTGAAGTCTTGCGCTATTTCCACCATTATAAATTCAATTTCGCAGCTAATATGAACCACTCGATTCCTGTCCAATACAGACAGTCGATAATCAGACTGGTCTGCTGCCCAACACGTTGACTGCGTATGACTTATTTTTCACCAATACACTTTGTGGTTTGTTTAATTTAAATTCGAACACTTGTTCTGAACTTTTAACAACTTCAAGAATCAAAATACACACAATTATCGCCAAATATACGTAATTTCACAAACGACTTAAAAATATTCAACTGGCAAATAAAATCACAAAGAAAGGTTTTCGCTTTTCCTTGTAGAGTTTGTAAATTAGCTTCCGCAGTAAGCTAGAGCGAGTACGCTACTTGTGCAAGAGGGAGGCCAGTCTATTGGGATCAAAAATGTGCAACCGGAATCGGTTAGACTGTGTTTATACACGGAAACTTTTGTCGACGCGATTTTTCACATTCCCTTTTGGTGTGGCTCGTTTCATTTACACGCGGCGAATTGTTGTTGTCAGCTGTGAACCGCGGTTCAATTTACACAGACGAACGAGAGCACACAGCGTGTTGCCCGAGCACGAGCAACTCGGTGCCCCTCTCCTTTCCTCGTCCCGCTCTCTCTCACAAACGTCGAGTTGTGGCAACAAAAATCGCCGTGTGTAAATGAGCACTTAGTCTAGATTCAGACAGAGAAACTTTTGTCGCGGCAACTCGTTACTTCTTGCAGAGGTTAGTGTCGAGGAATGGGGAGAGGCACCGAGTTGATCGTGCTCGGGCAACACGCTTTGTGCTCTCTTTCGTCTGAGTAACTTACGGTTTACACCGGACAATACTGCCCTGCAAAAAATGCGACTAATCTGGAATGACTCCGGGAGCAATCCCAAAGGAACATGCGCCTAATAACACTTTTGATCTCTTTATATGGAATGAACTGTTCGCTTTTGTTCGAGCATGTCCTATGAAAAGCCTAATTGTTCCTCTTCAAACCCTAACGGGTACAAAAGCGACTAGTCACTTTAAAAAAAATTAAAATAAAATTTTACGCCAGCCGCGATTCGAACCAAGGTGCTCAGGTTTGTTAAGCGAATACTCTCTTTATGTACCAACGCCGCACATGAAATTTCATTGACTAAGTGCGTACATATCATTAAATCGTTAATAGTACCCGATAGAGAAGAGTCGAGGACTAATTGACCTCCAATTATACCCGTAAGGGTTTAGTCGAGATTAACTGATCACCATTAGTACCCGTATGAGACTAGTTGCGACGAGTTAATGCCCAATCGTACCCGGTTGAGAGTAATCTCGGAATACTCTCTTTAGAGATTACATGCATACTTTTCCATGCATGCGTTTCTGACAACTCGTATATTTTCATTGTCTTGACAGCATTGTCCAATGTAAACGCGCCGTAATTCTGGTTGGCCCTTCACAGCCGACAATAAAAACTGCGTACAAAAGAATTGCTTTGTGTGAACGCGAAGGACAACATGAAACGAGAAATTGCCAAAGATGGCAACAAAAGTTTCTCTGTGTGAACCCAGTCTTAGGGACCAAAATACAACAGTTTTACGACCACTCGTCGATGTATAGATGTATACATGCGCCTAAAAGTACGCTACTTCTTAGCTGAATTATTTAAAATGGCAGCCGTGTGTTGCTCATACGCACCGGTGGCGACATCCGCCTTATATGCTAAAAAAATTATATACATAGAATACAACAGCTTTTTGGTGTTAAAGAATGCTTCGTTAATGTATATTTTATATATTGTTTCGAACATTTTGTTATGTCTTATAATTGAAATTAAAATTGTTATTGTACTCAAAAAAACATCAAAATATTCGCTGTCGACTTCTATTACAGTGAAGTTCTCCTGATTTCCAAACATCCACCACTGATGCAGAATATTGCGAACGAATAGGAAACGAGTTGTTATAAATTCGAAAAAGTGGAAGAAGAGTGTACCTGATTTGAAACCGATAAATACAAAGGATTAGGTGATAGCACAGCAGCTATGATTTCGTAATTCGTAAACGAGTAACGTACTTGAGGTTAAGAGCGCACACGACGCCACCACCACTTCTTGCACAGTCAGCTGCTCGTTGGGACTGGCATTAATTTTGTCCATACAGATGAGCACCTGTTGTAGCACCACATGAGCCAGCGGCAGTAGGGAAATGCTAAACAGCAAATGCTTCATGATCGCACCGCCACAACGCGTCGAGAATAGTGCGCCGAACATGCGGCGTAGATTCAACTTCTCATCCGGTATATCGAGAGGGGTGTTGCAAATTTCACAATGCGTGTCTCGTCGATGCAAAATCCAACGCTTCAGACACGGTATATGTACGAAACCCTTGAACGCAAAACAAAAAGCAAATAAATATGCGATCGCACCAATCACCTCGCCTAACGTCGGATACAAAGCACACTTACCACACTGCCGCGACACTGGCAAGGGCAACGTGACAGCTGTACGTCACTTCGATTGCAACGACAAATGCGACAAGAATTCCCAAATTCATTTGATGACTGTATCGTCGTTACCGATTTGCAGTCGTTTACGGCGTTGACTGGCGTCAGTGGCGCAGCATTGAGTGTCGTTGGGGGACCAGCCAGCTGTCCAGTTGCCACAACGCTGTTGAATAAGCGTATGGCCGTCGCCTCCGATAGTCCCTGCATACCGTTGGTCCGTAGTCGAATGGGCGCGCGTGCCGATGTTGATGGTTGGGACAGCAAGGCGTCAAGTAGCGTGGCTCGTGCTCTTGGCAGCAATGATGACGGTGGAGGCGGTGGAGGCGGCGGCGGCGCTGGTGGTGCTGCCGAAGATGGAGGAGTAGGGGAAACCAAAACCGGGGCCGGTGGTACTAGTTGAGCAGCGGCGTCGGATGGAGAAGACGACGTAATTGGAGGCGCTGGCTGCTGCAGCTTGAGGCCTTTGAAAACTTCCTCTATTGATCAACTAATAATTTTTTTTTTTTGATTTTCTTACGATTTTCATACTAAAAATTTTAACATTTTTCCATTTACATATTTTGAAAATCCAAAGCTGCGACGCCTCGAGTTTGACAACAACTGCAAATAAATATAACGACACTGGAACGGAAGTAATTGTAGCAGGCGTTTGCCACAAAATGGAGTAAGTGTTTCTTATCAAAAAATTTATCAAAAAGTAATTTTAAAAAGAAAGCAGAGCAGTACTGTTTATTTGTATGTATGTATGTAGATGGCGTATCCGAAATACAGAAACGCTGAGATTCAACTTGGTTAACCAGTTTCCAGCAATAAACTACAGCGGGGAAAGCTATTCATATAACCAGAAAACTTGATAAGCAAGAAGGTGGGAGCCCCTAAATTATATTATTATAACCATTGGGATCCTAAGAATTACAATATTTATTAAATATGCTCTTTGATATTATATATAGATTTTGCAAAATATTTTATTAGGAAATAAAGGCTATTTTTATGATATTTTTTGCTTTTAAAATAAAAATTATTTTTTAGTCCTACTCTTTGCGTACAAAATCAAAATTATTTTTATTTAGCTCAACAAAAAATAGTTTCCAAAACACTACCATAAGATACATAAATTTAATAGTTGAGTTTTTATATATTTTCTATCGCCTTAAAAACTACAACTCCCACATAGTTTTATGAAAAAAAAATAAAAAATATTAGTCACGACTTTTTCTATTACAGTTACGATGTTGTTACGTCTTTTTGCATGTCAGGTGACGATATATACATACTTACTTCGATACGTTCCATTTTAAGCATTAAAAAGAAACGATTGGTTTACCGTAGCTTGAAAATGTTAATCTCTATATTTTCGTAGCAACAATTAGTACAAATTTAAACAAATATTTAAAAAACAATAAAAATATGTGTGTGTGTGTATAAAATTTTTTTTAGATGAAATTCTCATAACTAAAATATGTAAGTCAACATTTCGTAAATTTTACAATACATATATAGTATACAACGGGTATGAGAATAAAAAAAAATATGTTAACACTGATTAAGTGTGAAAGGCATAACTAAATTGTAATTGATAATTATTTTGTAATTAATGTGTGTAATTGTTATTCATATACATATATTTTTACATTTCAATTAAAAGAAAATCTTTATTGATATATTTATTTATGTGTAAATATGTATATTTATTGTAATAAACGTGTTGTTAGTATCTAGGCGTGATTTCATATGTTTCTTATGGAGAAAAGCGAAAACAAGCGCATGTGAAATTTTGCATTTTCTCCATACGAGTACGGTTATATATAAAATATGTATTATATATATATCATCAATAATTTGCTTGCTTCTTTTTTTACAAGTCGATAATTCTACTTAGTTCAATTTTTAACAAGTAGTTTTGTATGTAATTTTACATTAATGCACCAACAACAAGAACAATTATTCAATAGTCCAAAATAATTTTGCGCTACAGCGTGTAAATTCACAAGAAATTTCAAAAAATGTTCACATTAATTATTTTTGAACGTACAAAAATATAGTCGACTTAATCTACGTCGTACGATCCAGATCGAGTTACAAAAGTTTATACTCGTATGTACAATGTACCTACATATGTACATATGTATGAGAGATACGTTCTGTTTTTATTGCTCAAGATTTAGGAAACCAATACACAAAATGTTATGTTTTTTTTTTATATGCAATAATAAATATATTTAATTACAAATACGTACTAGATTTTCGTAGTTTTGTTAAAATTTCTTCATACGTTTATGAATTATGTTTTAATATTTTTTCAAGAGTTAGCAGAGTAGTACATAGAACATGAAATCGTTCATCCCAGTGCCCAATACCATTGTATTCATAATTAACAAAAAAAATTTGGCAAATATGTAGAACCGTTTTTTAAGATCGGTTTCATGGCAATGAAGGATTAGTATACACCAATAGTTATTTTTCAATAAATATTTTTCATTTTTTTTTTTTGCTGATGACCGCAAGCCAAGATGATGTCAGAAGATTATTTAATTTGTGGTTTTTCCCGATTTTATTGGCAATTACGGAAACGACGGTAGATGCTCTGTACGTATATGAAAACGCATTTCCAATCGGGTCGTTTCATCTCTACCATATCCTCGACATCGAGTAGTGGCGCTATGCCAGCTTTCTCACTGAAATAGAAGAAAAGTTAAAATTTAGAAACGGCGCAATCCAAAAGCTACTTTCAATTGTTTGTTTAGGTACTTACTCGGCCACAGTGAAAGCTAATTCAAAATTATGTCTTCGGCTTTTTGGTGTTAATTTACTATAATCGAAGGAATCTGGCAAGAAATGATGTATTAGAGCACAAAATGCTAAACCATCTGACCAGCTGGCACTAAAGTTAGTTATTTGGACGTTCTGAAAAAACAAATTTAGTTTATTTTAATACGCTTACACTTTGGAAATTCGAAGCTAAAATAACAGAAAAAGACAACATTGCTTCAAAAATAAACAAAGCATATGAAACAGCGAACAGAAAAATAGTAAAAATAAATGTATAAAAATATTTAGGGGATTCACATGATATGGTAACCGTTGTAAAATCTTAAGCTTAAAATTTTTCTTTTATGTAAAACAACGGCTAAAAGTAGGTTTTTTTTATCAGTTTAAAGACATTTCGGTGTAATTAGAAATCCTCTAAAACCATTTCAATCATTATTTTACATACAAAAATTTTCAGCTTAAGATTTTACGTCACTTAGCACGTCTTGTGAATCCCCTAATCATGTAAATAAAATTATAATGTAGTTATAAGATTAATGCCCGGCATTAAAAAAAAAAAACAAAAACTCATTTTCTCATAGGAAAGCAAAGGAACGTAATGAATACCGGCGGCAACATGCGTGCGAGCAAACTGATGATATCTAAAATTATTAAGCGTATTGGCTTACAATAGGGGAGTTCACGATGTGTAGCATTTTGGGTGTTAAATTACCACACACTAAAATGCTACAAACCATGAATTCACCGTATACAAATAAATACGTATCTGTATGGACAAACAAAGCAAACAATATTTGAAAAATAAAATTAGAAAATGCGCTGGTTAGGGTACAAAATTAATAATATAAAGTTGTTCAACTCGAGTTTGAATATATACTATTACGAGTGTTTCATAAGTATACATTTTTTTTTTCTCGCCACCCTGTAGAGCAACAGCTAAATCGAATGTTTTCGTATAACCTTTTTGAATAACACGCTACAGATTACAGATCTGTATACCGGTTTTGGATCACTTCATTTCCCCCAAGATATTACCATTTTAAGTTTAAATTGTGAATGAAAAAATCAAACTTTAAAAGTTAAAAAATTTTAAACCAAAAAATTTTGCATAAATTTTTTCCCCTACAGTGGAATCGATTTTTGCTAATGTGGTAATAACAGGAAAAATTCTGAAAATTATCTCTACTAAGTATAGCTATGTATGCACACTATCATGTAGAGTTCAAAAGTTATGAACGTTTTTTTTTAAAGACGCCCTGCACTAAATAGTTATTAGCATTAAAATATGTAATTTAAAAGCCATTGTTTTCTGTAAAGAATAACTTAGCTACATGATATGCAAAACACCTTTTTAAAGGCATTAGAGTTCGGAAACCATTTAGAATGATGAACCGAATGAGAAAACCCAGATTTAGCTATTTTATAGGGTGCTGAAATGAAAATTATTTATATTTATGAAATTCTCTCATAGGAAGTGTGACAAATCGATGGGAACATTTAGTCCGCAGTCCTGCTCCATACAACGTAAAACGGTCAGCTTAACATACATTTTTAGTGGCTCTTTCCAAAGATTGACTGTGCCACCTACAAATGCTGAGGCGTGAAACCCCCCAAAGTGTTACATTTTTTTTTTACATTTTGAACTAATTTCGCGAAGGCAATTGATTAATTCAAATTTTATATTTATTTCTTCATTCACACTGTGCTGCTTCTTCTTCTTACTTAAAAATCAAATTGCGCAATTTGGGGTAAGTGAAACACACACTCTGACGTTTTTTTTTTTAAATAACACTGTGTACAGATACTAGCTGTTGTTAAATAATTATAGAAGCCATATTTAAAATTTTCTAAAACCCTAAAATTCTCAACTTACATACATACGCTATTTATTAATTTTCATCTCAGATATTTACCTAGCAATTTTGGATTTTAATATTGATTAAAGGAGGAATAATTTTTCCTTTTTCTCGAAATAATTAAGATCCTATGGACATTAAAATTTAAGGATTTTTTTTATGAAATTAGAACTCCAAAGGTTTTTTTCTTATTTTTTTAAACCAACCGATTTTTTTTTCCTAAAATCATTGCTGTTTCTGAAGTCAAACAAAGAACTACTTAATTTGATTAGGACAGAATTATATTTTCCTTATTTATGTGAAATTATGTAAAAGTGGATTTCATTATTTCAAGAGTTTTTCGTTGGGTCTATAGGCCTATGACCTATACTTGGGGACTTAAAAAGCTCGTGCGATCTTCTTAATATTTTTATCAATATTTTGTATGTCGAATTGTTATGACTTTCATAAATAATAAATTAAAAATGTCATTCCAACTCGGTTCCTATTTTGTTGTATTATAATGGATGCACTTCCTTTTAAAAATATACTGACAATCCAATTACTGGTATGGATTTTTTACTATAATGGGTTCATCATGCCAGTGCCTATTTACATTACGCCAGCGCTGGCTGGACTGGCTAACTGGACTTACATGCTACTGGAATAATGTATTTGGGGCATAATATCATGAAGAATTTCTGTTTAAGGGACAACATTTTTCAAGTACCCAACAAACACAAAAACGAGGGTGGCATCGTCTCGAATTTGAGGCGAGCTCGAGTAAATCAGTTTTCTCGAAGGGTTTTTAATTGCATCGTCTTCGAGGCACAATCAAGAAAATAGTTTTTTTCGAAAATATTCTCTCTCAGGTAAATAAAACAAATACAATTTCTTTAGATTTTTAAATCATATAAAACTTGGGTCGAAATAAATTGCAATCTCAAACCACCAGCGAGCTGAAATCTTGAGTGGAAAAATCAATAATTCTCGAAACGCCAACGATTCGAAGAATAAAGATTATAGAATCTCCAATGATTAGAAAAATTAAATGTTCTCGATTCGTCAGAGATTCGGCGAATTCGTTGTGTTTATTGGGTATTTACTTTCGAAATATATTTGTATTTTTCACTTCATATATACATATGTATGTACATCCCCAGATCAGAGTAAAAATCTTTTGGTTAGTTTAAATCAAAGAAGGTGCCTGTGTACTAAATTAAAACTCATTTTAGCAAGCTCATTATTTTACTGTTAGGTCATTTTTAGCGAAAAACTGAAGCGTTTGTTAATATAGAATTTCTTAAGCCCTGCATATTTATGCACAAATAATTATTTAAGCTTTCTGCAAGTAACATTTGTTAGCGGGTTTTTTGTTTAATAAAGAAATATGTATGCTTCTTCGCGATCAGCATAACTTTGATAGTAAAAGGTAGTATGTAGTAGAACAACGAGTAAAGCGCTGTAATTTTAATTGTTGCTTTGATAGAATAATTTTAATAGATTTCGTTTTTTTTCGTTTTTTGATTAAAAGAGATACCTCATATTCCTGCGTTTTCGATTGGCACCACTGCAGAAGTTGTTCCTTAACAGTGGCGGCGCGTGCATTTAATGCCGGATCAGTAAATTGGAATATGCGTGCGGAACCGGAAGGTGAGGCTGTGCCCCCGGGAGTGGTGGGTGTTGACGGTGATCTGAACAACAAGGGGTTTATCGTTTTTAAGCAACGTTATTTTGTAGCAAAGGAATATTGACAAAAAAAAAATTAGTTCTACTAGTAATTTCGCTGCGATTAAACAAATTTGAGAATAGAAAAAGGTCTGCAGTAAACTTTTTACTTGTTTAATGGTTTCTTAACATTTTGTGTGCAAAATTAAACTAAGAAGTTTGCAGTAGAGCTCTACAGTTGGCATTAATGATTTTTTATATTGTCTTAATTGATTAGACACTGAGAAGATTGGTGTTGAATTTCTACGATTATTAATTTATAGTAAAAACCAAAGTCATTTGGAGTATTTTTCAAACGCTAAGTAAATATGTATAGTATATCTTGTTTTGAATATTATAGAGTAATGAATTTGTGAGTAAATTTTTCCATATATTATATGTATGTATACTAGGGTGATCTAAAAATGCATGTGAAAAAGTAAGGTCGCAATTTTTATGCTCTCACCCCCTAAGATTATCCTATACCGCCCAAAAATATACCCCTTCTCTTTTATTTTGAAATAAAAAAATATTTAGAGATCGCTCAAAGCACTAAAAGTTTTCCAAAGTTATTTTATATGATAAAAAAACAATTTTTGATAGAAATGTTATAGAATTCTTGAAAATCAATATTTTTCGACCGGTAAACTCTGTTTCTCTTCAAGAGAATAATACCCAATTATTTTTTTTAACCATTTTTGCACAGTAACTTTATTTCATGGGTCCGTCAAAAAATGGTTAAATAAACAATTGGGTATAAATTATTGGAATCTGCTGATGAGAAACAGAGTTTTCCGATCGAAAAATATTGATTTCGAATAATCCGATACAATTTCTACGAAAAGTGGGTTTTTTCCCATATAAAATACATGGAAAACTTTGGCCGACTTTTAAATATTTTTTGATATCAAAATAAAAAGTAGCGATATATTTTTTTCGATATAGAACAATCCTAGGGAGTGAGAGCATTAAAATTTCGACTTTACTTATTTTGGACCACCCTAATGTATACACAAGTGGTTTGTTGTTATCGGCTACCAACACCTTATATTAAATTCTCCAATTAATAGTACGAATAGTCCATTAATGTTTCCTCCTCCACCAAATACCGTTTTCACAGTTTATTTAAAGTAGTTTGAAATTATTATTAAAAAATTCATGATTATGACTCTGGAGTTGAAAATCTATACATAATAGAATTCAACTTATATGGATAAAAAAAAATATAAAAAAAATTGAAAAGACTTTTAAAAATTTGGCCGGTTGTCACTTCTTATACATACAAGTATACGGCAAAAGCATGGCTTCTTAACTCGGTAGGCTCTCCGGTACGAGCAACATCTAACTTAAAAAAAAAAAATTCTAATAGCGGTCGCCCCTCAGCAGGCAATGGGTAATCCATGAGTGCATTTCTGCCAAGAAAAAAGCTTACATGGCGTTAACATGTAAGTCCCCTCCCTTTTGGGTGACAACATCAAGGCGCAACCCACAAATACTGAAAAAACTTGGTAAGATGGTGGCTATTTCGCTCGACATGCGAGAGTATTTACGCTGATAGTAAATAAAAGAGCATATTCCAGCCTAGTATTCTATATCAGAAAAACTTGGTAGCAAAGAAGTCAGAATGTATCAAAGCTCAAATAATAAGAGCTATCATTTCTGAAGTTAGGAACCTCAGCTCAATCCATATGCATACGTTTTTTTTGCAGTAAGCTCAATGATGCGAGCGGAAGCTGCTGATACTATTCTGCAAGAAGATCTATCGGATAGCCCGAGATATGACAGTCTCACTCGGCTGCAGATAACCTAGAGTGTCTTCTGAGTGACCGAATAGCGTCTTAAACGAAATTGAAAATATTTACTAAGGTCAGTGCGCCGCGAGTTTGGTTTAAGATGTACCGGCTTTTAACGCTGACTTGGTCATGCCGTACAAATTGACACAACGTGGAAAGGGAGAAGGGGCAAGAAAGAGGCCCCGTTTACGATGGAAAGACCAGGTGGACAGGAACTTTGGCTTCACTTGATGTTAGCAATTGGCATCACTTAACACTGAATACAGCCAAAATCGCTTCACCAAACAAGAAGAAGAAGAAAATGAGTCTGATCTCATTACAAAAAAAAACCAATGTACCAATAAAAAATTTTGAATTATTGACAGTTTTAATGGGCCTATTGCAAGCAATTTGACTATTTTATGAACTTTTCCGCTGTGGTTGTATTGGTTTGGAGTGCGTGCTACCATTCGCAGGGCCTGGGTTCAAGCATGGTTCAATCCAACAACAAAAAATAAAAACAAAAAAGGTTTTTTTCTAATATCGGTCGCCCCTCGATAGGCAATGGCAAACCTGTGAGTATATTTCTGCCATGAAAAATACCTTCTCATAAAATTACAATCGCCGTTCGGCGAACATCAAGGCGCACGCCACAAATCGGAGGAGAAGCTCGGCCAAACACTAATATATGTGTAAACGCCAATCTATTATTATTATTATTATTATTATGAACTCTTCCAATACCAGAGCACACAATCATGAATATCAATACTTATTTTACTAACCATGTATGTTGTTAAATAAACTTAAATGTTTTTTATATCCATAGTTATGTATATTTTAAACAAACAAAAAGAACGTAGGTAATAATTTCTTACTTTGGCGATTGCTGAGAGTTTTGTTTGTCCAGCTGATGGAATTTCGCAAACGGCGAAGCTGGCTTCGATGCAGAGCTGCCAGCGCCACTTACAGTGCGTGTTGTAACTGCGAGAAAAGAATGTTTAATAAATAAACAAATAAGTATATAAATATGTACATTAATATAAAAGGAAAAACTAAAAATAAAATATACCTACCTTTAGTTGTAGTTGTCACAACGGCACCATCTTTTTCCTTTGTTTCCGTTTTCTCAGTGGTCGATGTAGCTTGTTGCTCTGTTGAGGTGGTTATTTGAAGGTCAGTTACATATTATGTATTTGTGTGTGTGTATTTTTTTCAAATATTTAGTTTTTGTTTTGGTTGATTTGAAGCATTTTTAAAGCACAAAAATACGAAAAAATACAAAAAAGAACAAATATATATATATAAAGCATGCGTTAGTCAAAGCTTTTTAATTTATAATATAGATATACATATATGTATATTATTTGTTGTATAAAATTTGAAGCCCAAAATGTTCTCTACACTTTTTGTTTTACCAGATACACATTTAAAAATTGTACTACATATGTATTTACAATTTCTTATAGCTACATTCTCATACCAAAAATCCCAAAAAAAAACAAACTTTTTATTTTGCAAAAATAGGTTAGTCCTAAATATTTTTAAAAGGCAGTACAAAAAACAAAGTAAAATTCGCACAAAAACCTCCATTTTATTGAGCTCTCAGGTAGAGCTGTTTCCATTTCAAGTTACTGAAACTATTTTTCAATACATTACGGCTTAAAAATTAAACTTAAAAAAACTGTTATTCATCTTCATTAGGGTACCTCATGAAAAAAGTCAGAAAATATTTTTTATATCTTTTCTTTCGTTCTTTTAAATATTAGGATGCTGTGACCTTTTTAATTAAAATTAAAACCCAAAAATTTTATTAACTTGAAAAAAATAAAATATAATAAAATAATGTTTATAATAAAAAAAAAATTTTAATTAAAAAATATTGTTTGGAATCGCTTGGAATGGGGACCGAATCTGGGTGTTATTGGGTTTACTACTTCAACAACAAAAAAAGTTTAGAACCCTATTTTACCATTTTAAAATCGCGTTCTCCTCATTTTAAAGTTAAAATTCTGTTTTGCCATAAAATGCATTTTAAGTTGGCTAAGGAAGAGTTAAAATGATTATTACAATAAAACACAATTTAATCGTTAAAACCTTTTACCAACTTATCTATGACTACGGGCCATTATATTTTAAGACATTCGCCAAAACATTTCGGAAAAATATAGAGTTTTAGGTGAGTTGGGCCCATTTGAAAATACCTCCCAAAATCTCATTATTTTGATTCCGTTTATACAATGTTTAACATTTTTATGCAGGCCTTTTAAGCTTAAACTCTTCTATCATATGAATGTTTCGAAAAAAAAAATATTTAAAAATTAATTTATTTATGTATTTATAAAAAAAAGGTATTTTCACGTATTGAGTGATGCACCCTAATGGAACATAAACATATCAATGGTGAATTCTGAGTTACCTACATACACGGTGTAAAAAATCAACAACAAAAAATTGCACGAAAAGACCGAGTACAGGTCGTAGGTCGAGTCGAGTAAAAAACTATGTAGGAGTAAAAGGATATTCTTAAATAATGTCCGAAAGAAATATGTTTTGGTGAAAATTTGTGGAAATAATTATGTTGTACTAAAAAAAAACGGAAAAGAAACTCAGAGATTTTCAGGGTGTTAAAAAATGTTCACCCATATTTTGGTAAATTATTCCATCAAGGTTACGATCTTTACTGGTCGCATAAAATGTTTATTATCACAGTTGCAAAGCTTTATTAACTTTACACAATTTCAGAGAATTTTGTCCGTTGAATCAGAGTATTGGCTACCGCTCGAATTTTTGTTAACATTTTTGGAGAATCGTTATTATTTTATTTGTTCAATCTTTTTTAACCGTACCAATGGAGACTGCATTGTTATCACCGATTTAAATTTTTTATGATCTAAAAATTTACATATGAAATATAATAATAATGACAGAAAAAATAAATGTCAAAAATAACGTTCAAAATTGATCGAAAAAATAACAATTATAAAATAACTGTTAAATTTCATAGGAAACATATTAATTAAATTTTAACAATTAAAATATGATTTCTATTACAAAGATCATAACCGTTACGGTTTCTGCTATTTAAAAAAATATATATTTTTTTTATAAAAGCTTTATTTATAACTTTTTTAGAATCTACCCGTTAGGCCAAAATTGCTCCAAACTTAGAGATAACTTTGTTTTGCATATTTCATTTTCATATTTTTTACAAAAAATTGTTTTTCAAAATAAATAATTTTAAAATTAAGTTTCATCGAAACGACATTAGCGGCATAATAAAGCTTGCAGGGCAATGATTTTTTCACAAAAATAAACTTTAAATTAAATACCTAAAAATTGCATTGGCTTTAAATATTTACACGTATATTCAAATAGTTTCAGTACTTAAAACAATATTTCTAAGAGGTTTCATAAAAAAATGCATAACAACAGTTAAAAGGTCCCACTGTATACACCTCTAGAAAATATTGTATCTAGTATGAAAAAGAAAATGTATAAAAATCGCATGCAATATAACGAAGAGAACGAAATTTCTTATTTAAGTATAAAAAAGTGTGTATGCATTTTCATTAGATCGTATCACATTACAAGCAAGCAAAAAAAGTTCGCCGTACACCCCTGAGTCTAAAGTAGTTTTGCAAGGCTTTTCAGATTTTTCGGTGACAACTACATTCGGCAACAAGAAATCCTTTTTAAAATAGTTCTACTAGAATAATCGAAATACTCCCTTAGCAAAAGTTCAATGACTTTTGGTGAGCTTTAATTTACCGACATTAGCGTGATACGTTAGGATGGTAGGCACTGAGATCTAGTGGATAGGTACTAGAATGGGGTACTTGAGGCTTAACTTTGAAAAAAAAAAATTAAAAAAATTGTCTCCTTTAAGATGTAACTTCAAATGCCAAACTTTTGACAAAAAATGTAAAAAGTCGACCCCTCGAACCAGTCGAAATTGCTTTGTAAAATTACCTTAGACTCAGCGGTTTGCGGCGAACTTTTTTTTCTAGTACGGTCTGATGAACATACTACACTACTATGTATATGATAAGTAAGTATATATTCGCATATGAATGGAAAAAAGACGGCATTTAAAAAAACTAAGTAATAAGAAGCAACGAGCAACAACTTCTTGAACAAATTTGTAGCAAAGTTATTAAAAAATGCATGCGTCTTAAGCAGTTTTTGCCTGTCGTAGCGATAGTGAGTACATACATATTTATTCATAAAAAAATCAATGTATGTACATACACTCGCGAACAAAAAAAAAATGTACAGTGAATGTGTATCGTATAGTTAAATTAAAAGTACCAGGTCTATATATGTACATGTATGCGTATGTTTTTAATGTGTTTGTTTGTATATACAGAAGGAGGGACAACATGGTTGTATTATTATTATTCCAAACAGAAACGATTTTATTTTTTTCCAAATTAGTATTTGTAGTTAAAAAATTTTGTGCCAATTTTCGTCGTAATTTTTTATTCACTAATATCAAATCAAATTGCGCTTCAATATGCAGCATATCAACACGAACAAACAAATTAACGATCGAGCGTATCAGCGAGTAGAAAAAATAAACGAGCATGTGAATGTGTGTGAGCTGGCGAGCAGGCGAGCAAGTGGGCGGTCAGGTAAGTGAGCACAATTGCGCTGAGTGGATTTGATTTGGAGGCTGTGGATTGTGTGGACTGCGAGCTGTGAGCTGTGAGGTGTGAGCTGGTTGTGAAACTGGGCAGGGCTGGGCGAGGCTAGGCAAGAAGCTGGCTTCACAACTTGGCCTTGAAAGGCTTTTATAAAATACGAAACACAGTACGTTACCACTGGACTTGTCATTTTGAGGTTAGTTTTTTTTGGAACAAAGCACTAGAGCAGGGCGTTTTGCTTTTAACTTGATGGAGAACTTCAGGGAAAAACGTGGCACATGAAAATCGTTGATGAACTCACACTGTATGGAGCGAATGTGTAGCAACCAGCAGAGGCGAAAATGAAGGTGGAACGTTTTCTGCTACCGAATTGTTGGTTTCTATAATCGCTGGAACCAGTAACTCCGCGGGGGGCTTTTCAGACGCATATGTGCATATATGTTGCTATGGCTATACTATTGTCGTATTTCATTAATATAAAGTGTCAGACTTTCCGTGAGATCCTCAGAGTTACACCAATCATTTCTCTTCACTTATTATACGTTTGCAGTGACATAAAGGGTTCATCGCATGTGAATGGTATTTGTTTGCGTGTGTTTGACGTATGGTGTAAGCATGGTGATAAATAGTTTATATATACGAGTATTTTGTAATTAAATTGAAATCGGCGTTAAAATTGCAATAATAAAACAACATGTAGTCCCTCAACTTCCGTTATGCTTCAAGTCGCTTTGTCCGTTGCAGTTTATCAGTCCCACAAATCAAAAATCAAGTAGTAGGGATAAGGAGTGAGTGAGAGAGAGAGAGAGCGCGATACATATAAGAGGGAGGGTTTGATAAAATAGTAAATTATGTAGTTAATAGTGCTGACGATGAGCAACGTTCGAGACACGGCAAGTATTTAATTCAGCAAGAATCGGGCTTGAAAGCACTGTCTGGCTATATTTCGCTGTTGTTGTGCATTCACAACTAAACATTGATTCCATATTGATTTTCATATCGAATTTCAACTCCCTCCGCTACAATTTGGAATGGTTGGCACGCACAATGATCCCAGCTTAGCACGCGCACCTTACAACCTACGAGCCCATCATTAGCTGCTCGAAGGCGTCTTCAACGTTGCTCTCGTCAAGTAGATTCAAATTCGCAATATGCGGCATTGTTGCGCTTCGTGTCAACCCACCCCCCCAACACAGTTGTTCCTGCTGAAGGCACACCATTGCTCGTCATTGTGGTCAGCGATTTGCGACTCGCCGAAATCTTTTCGCTGGTCTTGTGCCGATTGATTGTCGATTTCTTGGCACCTCCTGTATTGGCGGCCGACGTTGTTGCTGTTGTGGTTGTGGCAGTCCTCATTTCAACTGATTCTTCTCCAAATTGGTTTGGTGATCTTTTGCCCGAAAAATATGCCTCAACGGTGCGTTTCTTCTCACCAATTTGTGCCTTATCGATGCCCGCCTCATACATGCGCACATTCAACGTATGCCCAGACTTGGTGCGACGCAATTCGCCACCGCCGTTGGCGCTGCTGCCGAATTTTGGCGAGGTAGGTGGCAGCTGTGCATTCGCTTGATTTTGTAGTTGTACTATTTGGTTCCACGAATCGCTCTTGCTCAAGCGATTCGTGCGAGGAGGATGCGCATCAAAATGTGTTTGCTCATTATCCTCCTGGCGACGCGACATTGATGTGAATGCGCTGATGTTGTTGAAGACAATGTTGCGCGGTATGAGATCTTCGTCTGGCTGTGGAGTGGCTGGTATTTCCACAATAGAAGGTTTCTTGGTCAATGTTGAATGTTGCACAATTTCGTGGTGCCTACTCTTTGTGACCTTCGTGCTGCTGCTCTCGAACTTTTGTTGCGTTTGTGTATTGGTCACGGGACTCTGATAAGAATTGGGCATATAATGATGACGTTGTGGTGGACCAAACTTTTTCAGTATGGGCATATCCTCTTTGGGCAGTGATGACTTGACGATATCTGGCGTATCAGGTGGAGCCGATGACTTGTACTCCTGCTTAACCACGGTTTTCGTGTCCAACATATAAGCCGCTTTTCTTTTTTCTTGTTGAATATCGAAAACATTACCAAGACTCTTGCGTCGAGTTTCCGTCGACTGTTGTTGTTCTTGCTCATGCTGTTCGAACTTACGCTGCTTGCTAGCGACCAATGATTGCTGCGACAGTACGCGATTTTGGGCTTGCAGTGGACTTATCGCTGGGTCGAAGGTTCGTTGCCTTGGGAGCGATATCTGCTGTGGCTGAGTGTGCTGTTCAAAGGATTTAGTCTGCCATGTAGAAGTCGTTACCTGACTTCTTGTCGTCAATTTAGGCACACTTTTTACTTGCGGAGATGTAGCTTGTACTGGAGGTTGATATTCTCTTTCTTGTTGTGGTAATTTGGACTGTACTTGTGGTGGAGCCAGCGGCTTCTGGTTAGGTGGTTGAGTATATTGTTGTTGATAGGCAGGCTCGGATTGCGGCGGGGGTATATAGTGCGCGGTTGTTACCGCAGATTTGGGTGCTACATTTGGCTTCGGTTGTGGCATGCTTTGCACATTGTTATAGCTTTGCATCTGTGGGGGCGCCCGAGTTTGTGTTTGGTACATATTTTGTGATTCACTGTTACTGCCAATAGAGTTTTGGGACTTGTGTTGTGGCTTAACTTCCACCACCGAATGTATGGGATTGGGAGTCCAATTTGTGCCGGGTGAAGGTAAGTTGTGTGACACTGATGAACTGGCGGACGAATTTTCAGATACATTGCGGTTTCGCTGCAATGGCAATGAATTTGGATGTTGTTTCCCATAGCCGTTCTCATAAATATCCTCTGTCGGATATGTGACTACATAGGCAGTTTGGGTCTCACTTACGTAGGGCAGCGATTTTGCTGAAGAAGCGCTGGATACGACGCTAACCTGCTGGTATTGCATTTGTTGCTCTTCTTTCCGCGTATTATTTACACTTGTATTATTAACCTGTTCCGCATACTTCTGCTGTTCCGCCCGATATTTCTCCTCAGCACGTGCCAATTGCAAACTGCGATCGATGTGCTGGCTGGGCATTGGTGGCGTTTTAGCACGTAATTTTTTCGGGTTAGCTTGAACCGGAGCCTTAATAGTGCTCTCAATGTACTCTGGCGTGCGGTTGGGCTCAAATTTGGTGAGTTCTGGGAACAAAGGTTCAACGATTGGCGCTTGATATGCACGACCATCCGGCGATAGACAAGTCTTTGGCGATTCCACTTTCCTCACAACCTCCTTCTTCACTTTCGCTCCACCATTTCCATTTTTACCGATATTTCTCATTGCATGCAGAAGGTTTCGCGCATTGCGTGAGTTCTTGCCGAAGACTTCATCATCGCTGGCATGCGCTGTACGTCTGTCGCGTATTGTTACAGCGGTTTGACTTTGGGGCTTTCCCATCACCCGAGTTTCGGCGCGGTATTCCAACAAATTATCTGAGTCCAGATCATCGTCGGTGTAATCCGTTTGCTGCATAGTTAGGATACTGGGACTTGTTGGCGCGCTTTCCATAGGGCTGACATAATCGAATTGCTTTGCTCTAGGAATATTGTTGTAGTAGGCGCGAGTATCTCCAGGCGGCTGGTATGTTGGATTGGAACTGGTGAGCACCAATGGTGTCGCATTCGGATCGGTTAAGGAACTTTCGCGCTGCCGCACATAGTCCGCAGTTATTGAAGTCTCAACAGCTGATGGTAAGCAGGGATAGCTTTTGTAGTTGCTGTTGCGCGCTATGTCGGCATACGTAAATGAGATATTGGTTGGTGGTGGCGGCGGACCGTAAGTGTCAGATGTGGAGCCGTAGGCTTGTGACAGCTGTGATGGTGTATACTGACTGTGTGCGGCCATATATGGATCAGCGGTGCTGGGCAGTGAGGGTCTTTTCTTGTACTCGTCCATTGGTGGTTGTTGGCTAACCTTTGACGAACGCAGCGAATGATGCCTCTGCAAATATGAATTTTGACGATTATCATTTTGGGAACGTTCCTCGAAGGTATGCGCTTTCTTTCTGAAATCGCTATTGTCTACTGCGGGCCTAGCGACCCACGGCAAACCTATGGGCGATGAGGTGGTGGATGAAGGTGATGTCACCTGTGTGCCATTCACTGACTGTTTTGTGGTCAGGAACTGGAACTGCGGTGAGGCAGGCGATATCTGTGCTGGTGCTGAGAGGGGTTTATTAGAAATGGATGGTGGCTGCCAAGTATTCAACTTTTGCGGCAGTTGCGGTATAGGTTTGAAAATGTTATGACTAAGGGTGTCGTTGTTGTCAATGGGCCGGAAAACTGACTGAGGGGCATGCTGAAATTGATTGACCGGCGCCGGTTTTGGCACCGACATGCTTGGCATGGCGGCATGCTGTGCTGCAGCCAAACGTTCTCGCTCCATAATCTCCCTCTCGTAGTACTCTCGTTCGATTCGATCGCGCTCCTGCCGCTCACGCTCTAAGCGCTGGCGCTCAAGACGGTCACATTCTATACGTTCGCGTTCAAGGCGCTCTCTCTCTTTGCGGCGTTGACGTTCGTTTGCCTCTTGTTGAGTGCGTTGCAGCAGTTGCTGCTGTTGCTGGTATTGTAGATATTGCTGTTGTTCCTGTTGCTGCAGATGGTAGTCCTGTGCGGCTACTTGTTTCTGCCAGTAATTCTTGGCAGCGCTGTGTGGCACGTGACCGGGCGCTTGCGGTGGTTTGCCGGTTGTAACCTGTGCTGCGGCGCCCACTTCAAAGGTGTGCTTCAAGTTTCCGAATTTGTTGGTCCAGTTAGAAACTGAACGCGAACCAGTCCAGCCGAGACCTGGCTTATCGCTTTGTTTGTTAATGAATGCTAGAAATTTGTGATCGTTTTCAGTCTTTGGTACGAATGGTGGTATAACGCTGCGAACTTTTTGCTTAACATTCACTTGAAGTGTACGCTTTAAGCCCAGCTGTGGAGCTTTGTCCTCCGGCTCGGAATCTGTGTCAAAGTCGGGATTGTATTTTTTGGACTTCGGTATATCGATGGTATTTGCACGCTTCAGAAGTTGTTTTTTATTTGAGAAACGATTAGATTTCAAACTGGAATCAGGTGAATCATAGCCGTTCACATGGGACGCTGTCGGTTCTTCATTCGGTGCATTCGAATGTGTTTGTGTCTCATTTTTGGTAGAATTTGGCTCGAAACTGACGGAAAAGTTACCCGACAACGGACGTTTGCTCTTTGAGGTATCCTTTTCTCGCTCAGTTGTTTGTTTTTCGCTATTAAGGCATGTCGTTGTGTTCTTTAGTTGTGCAGGTACAAACTGATTTGGACGGTATAGTGCCGAAGACGAGTTGCCCGTGAGTATCGCACCCGACGACGGATTTTTTTCGATAGGACACCACTGGGGCGGCGTGACAGGATTGCCCGCCAAACCGCTTTCAGGCGTTGTGCAATTGGATATATTCTCTATCATTTGCATATCTTCCATGTAACGTCTTGCGTCGGCCAATTCTTCCCGACTTACGCCGACTGTGTGGCGACTGTTGCGATTACGTCGACGTGCAAAACGTTGGCGATTCGAACGTTGCCCATCGGCCTCCGGCGAGGAGGCCTCATCATATGCCCCCGCATTGTTGGCCATATTTGACAGACTCAGTGCAGCGTCGGGTGAACTGAGACCCGTTTGGAGGCGGGCGACCAACGCAAGCAGAGCCTCGCGTTTACTACCATCAACTGGTATATCCTTGCCCTCTTTCAAGGACAGCTCTAGACGTGTTAGAGCGGCTGTGACCTCTTCAATCAAATTTGTATCACTTTGTAGTTGCAAACTATCACGCAGACCTGCCGCAATGAGGCGCAAGTCCTCACCACTCTCTGTGCCGGAGTCCTCCTTCTGAGGGACGCCTAACCTATCGATCTGTTTCTGCTTGGAAACGACGCTATCACTCGAACGATTACCACTACCACCAACTTTGGCGGTACTGTTCTTCATCACAATGTCGCGTGTCATTGTCGGTTGAGATTCTTTGGAATCTAATGGCTTGTTTGTATTTGTGTTGTGTGTGCAATCTTTATTGTCGCTATGTGTTTGTGTATTTGAGTCAGTTTGTGTATTATTGTTGTTGCTGTTGTTTGTATTGGTTTGGTCGTTGTGGCTTACGCTGCAATTGTTGTTGCAATTATTAACAGTATACAAATCACTACGTTCACTACTACTACTACAGGCCTTATTTGTATGTGTGCTAGTCTCTGCTACTTGATTCACTTCCGTATTTGGTGCTTTTTCGTGAGTTTTCTGTGAGTTGGCATTCACTTTTGGCTTTGGCAAACTCTTTTGCAATAGGCCTTGCAATAACGGCACTAGCGACTCACCCTCACTAACGGATTTCGAATCGGTTTTATCGGCACTTGCTTGAACGTCACACTCTTCGGCAGAGTTTGAAACTTTGCTATCACCTGAGGCAGCTTCTTCTACAACGGATTTAGCTTCCGCTTTATCAGCTGGCTGAACTTGTGGAGCAATTTCATTTACTTCTGCTTTTGCTTCTTCTT